GTGTTTGTGTTTGTGAGCATGTGTCAGGTTTCTCCTGCTTCCGTCAGTCCTGTGATGTCTCCTGCTCCTCTGCTGTCATCACCCTCATATTGGCGACGCCTACATCTGCCATCACGGCCAGACAATAAAGACCTTATGATAATTTGATTACTAGCCTCTGTTAGTGGGTCATTCTCTAACATCCTCATCATCGTCGCCGTCGTTATCATCGCTGAATGCAGGCTACCATCTGAGTTCCCCCCCCTGCTGTCAGCGCCATCACTGAGCTCACCCTAACCCCTGGCTCGCTCCAGGTCCAGAGAGGGTGTCCGGTTCCCTTTGTACCCCTCCGTAACCATACCGCTACAATACAGCAACAATATCTCTGTGTTCACCTGTTAGCACCTGGCACTGCGTGTAAGACTCATTGCCGAGTCCCCCTCAGCCAACCACTCTGGTCGTCTCTGTCAGACGCCATGTGGAACGCGCCTTCCTGTCACCAAACCCAATATCCTGCACACACAACACACAGAGGCATAATAACCCGCTCGCTGCTTGCCTGTCAACGCTCTCCCCTGGCAGCCGAGTCATGCTAACATATACAGAATGAATGAAAAGCACTTAACCAATCAACAACCCATCACGTAATTACTAAGGTTTCGAGCATCATCTGTCATGTGAGTCCCCTGTATGCCCTCAGAAAGACAGAAATTACTGAGATATCGTCCTCGTAACCAATGCTTCAAGCAGACAACCTCAGCTTATGCTGGTGTGAAAAATTTGCATTCAAATCAACGGCTGTAGCACACCTATATTTTGTGATGCTCAAATGGGGATAATGACGCACATTTTCTGAAAATAGTTCCTAAAAAGGCTTCCCTGCACTTGTACACAAAAAAGGTGACAGTAATTGTGTGAATAATTAAACGAGAACACTCGACAGAGAAGTTAAAACTCACACAAAATGTCAAAAAGGTGTAAAGCAAGGGTCGCTGTTTGACCATCAGGCTTCTGTCACGTTTTACTCTGTGACACCCTGAGAAATGTCCTGAGGCTGGTTACAAGAAAGGAGAAAATGTACGTATGTTGTAACGGTGAGCGGGTCGTGTCAGTGACCTTTTTCGTCAGGTGAGACCCAACTTTGAGTGGGTGCAGCGAGTGGCAGCTCCCATGATACAATGTGCTGACGGTGGGAAAGATGAAACGGCTCATCGAGACTGACGTGTTGTTGCAGTTCCCTTCAGATCAGATAATATTAAAAAAAATCACTGGGAAAACCTCAGGCCCTCCACATCCTCTTTGGCATGATTGGCATGACTAGGCCTGAGTGAAACTGAGTTTGGGCCAAGTGTCAAGTTAATTCAATTTTATTTGCGAGTTTGTAGTTTTATTAAGTGAACCCTTTAGGCTTAACTTTATGATTTCAGTAATTAATATAATACCGATATCAATCATGCTAATGTATAGGGTGAGGGCTGCAAGCATGGAGCCATTGATGCTTTATAATTTAAGAGAATAAATACTCCTCAAAACCAACAATAAATATCATGGAAGCTTGTAAGGTAGAATTAGCTTTAGCTTAAGTCCTCACTGAGGACCCTTGATTTTGCCATTTGACAATGAATATTCCTCAAGAATTATGTAATCAAATGCAAACTAGATGAAGTTCTGGGGTGACCTGAACTCAAGTCTAACTGAAATCCCAGTTGTACATAGATTTTTGTGAGATTTTGAATAAAACACGGATGAGAGAGAGAGAGTAGCTTTGATTCTTTTCAAAACACAATATATCATTTAAGTGTCAAAAAATGTTTTATTTCCGACATTGAAGTGGTAGAGGCCCGACCGAGACTGGAGTTGTTACTGAACACTAATGATATTTACATTGGATACGAGACTTGACATTTTAAGAGTGTTTCAAGTCCAAATCTCTGCATGAAATGGACCGAATCATGAATAAGATACCTGTGCGTATGAAAATCAACACTTACAGAGAATTTATAGAGTGTGATGTATTGTAAATGTCAGTATGGAGAGTAAAGTTTGTGATCTCACATCCATTGACATACCGATGTTGGCAGGTCCACTCAGACACAGGATAATGTTCTGTTATGCTTCACCGGGCAGGCCTCCCGTCTCTTTTAAAGACGATACACTTTCACCACAAAGTTTCCCGCTGTGCGTTTCATAAATGTTTATCCCACATGACTCCGGCCTATCTCCCCAAAGTTTGCTTAGGATCGCTGTAAGCCCTGCCAGCTCTCATGAAAGAGAAAGATTTGTAAAATGAAAGATATAAAGCCTGCTTCAACATGCTTGGGTCGAAGGAAAACTCAATTACCTTCTTATAACAGTTCTCCACTTTTGCAAGGCAGCAGGGTTCAGAGAGGTGTGTGTAAGTTAGTGTGTGTGTCTGTGTGTGTAAAAGACACAGACAGAGAGACAGACAGGTGGTGGCAGTAGTTGACTGGCAGTAAAAGCTTCTCGTTAAAGAAACTAAAACAATCAACTAAAAACTTAAGAATACAGTATGAAAATGTCCCAAGACTTGTTTACTAATTGCAACTTTCTTTCGCGCTCTCTTTATCTACTTTTGATCTTTTTTGACATTTCAAAATGATAAATGTTATTGGTCACTGACAGGTCTTATTCAACCATACAGCGGCTTGGCTCGAGGGATGTCGCTCCACCACATTTAAAGACAACTGTTGGATGGATTGACATTCAGTTTGGCACAGACAGTCATGGATGAATCCTAAAGACTTAAATGACCCACTGACTTTTCCTCTAGCACCACCATCAGGTCGACATTTGGGTTTTTAGAGAAATGTCTCGTCCACTCTCGGATGAATAACCGTGAAATTTGATGCAGACATCCATGGTGCTCAAATGTTAATTCCTTGACTTGAATGTTGACTTTGGAGACATTTCAGCATCAACAGGTCAACGTTTTCACTTATCAGCACAACATCTTCAGGATGAACTAGCATGAAATGTTGACTAAAATAAATAATGTTGTTTATATGTATTGAAAAGTAATACATGGATAGAAATGACAAACACTTTGTTATCCAAAAAAACTGCACTATTTTTAGATTCTAATTTCTCAAACCAAAATACTCTCGTTGCCTTCTCTGGCATGCGCATGCTACTCAGAGAGGAGGAGGAAATATAATGTACTCATTCATTATACAACAATGGAAGAGAAACAGAGCATTACAGACAGCCCTACATCCCATCTCAAACAGGAGGAGAGCGAGAGTGGTAATATTCACAGTAAGTAGAGGAGAATGTAATGTTGTTGGGCACTAAATTACAGTCATTGAAAGCTTGTATGGTTACCCAGCAATCTATCACTGTCACACAGGGAGGGAGAGGGGGAGAGAGAGCAGACAGGCGCCAGGCGCAGCGGGATCAAAGCAGAAATGTAGGCTACCTCGGGGAGAGAAACAGTTAACTCCATTTAACCAATTGTCCTACAGACAGACAGCCAGTGTGCTGCTGCAGGCCCAACAACAGTTCTCAAAAGAGAGAGAAACTCTCACATATTGGGTTTCCCTGAAAATGATTTGACTTGATTTGAAGAGCTGCAAAACAAGGCCAATTTGGATGGGCCTCTTCAATGGGCCTCTTCGACATTATTTGGGGTTTTACTGTCTCTCAAAGGGATTACAGACAATGAACCCAATAGGTTGAAATGTGGGCAATACACAGGCATAGATAATTTGATTACAGGCCACGAGATAGAAATTTATAGTGATAATAACTCCTAAGAGTATACAAAGTACTGTGAATCCCAGCCCGGATTGCTTTACATGCTTTAATGAAACACAGTGATAAACTATGCAAGATATTGTCAAGCACAACTTGTCAGATGAGGTCCTACAACAAGTAACTGCACTATAGTTTTAACAAAGTATCGAGAGGAAAAAAGATAACCGTAAACTGAATTTTTGGGTCTGTCTTTTGTTAAACCTTTTATAAATATTGTTGGGGCAGTGGAACAAGCTTTAAACACAACCTTTATCAACATATTGTCTTATAAATTGAAATGGTAAACGTGTTAGCAAACAGTTGCCAATTCACACTTCCAGAAGACACAAATCAACATCGTAATAGCATCCATGTTACTGTCCACTGGATGTATGCATGTATAAGTTTAATATTCATTCTACTTTTAGCTCTGTTTTTGGTCTCCACCAACTCCTGAGGGAAATATCTGCTTCTTGAGCTGCTTAATGCTCCACTATGATCGCCAGCTAGTTGCTATCTTTGGGTGCTGGGCAGGTAGTGTATGGTGGGTTTTAGAGGAGCAGCTGCCTTTTGCTGCTGAAAACAAGTTTGATGAGAGCGGTGAGAGTGGATCAAAACAGTGAAAACCAAAACAATGAGTTGAAAGACGTTAAAATGCTCCGTAAAGCCGAGGGGAACAACATACAGTAGTTGGGTAATAATTTAGCTACGTTTTTACTCATCAGAATTAGAGAAAATAAGATTATAAATATGTCCATATTAATATATCACAAATGTCAAACTATATTTTAATGTTTCAGGCCTTATTCAGACATCGTGGAGAGGTTTGTTCACTGAAATTGAAATACATCTAGGCAGTCCTGATGTTATTGTGCAATGTTTAAGTGTGCAGAAATTAAACCCATTGATGTCAGTGCATCAGCAATGGGAGAGGAAGACGTTGCTGATGTAGGGGTCCACAGCTGGAGAGGGCCAACATCAAAAAATTCCTGTGTAAAGGGAGAGGGGGACAAAGGCATGAAGGGGATGTGGAGGGGGGGGACTCAGAATTCCGAGCCACGCCCCTCATCGGAGGTTTACGTCTGTCATGGAGCTCACAGGCCATGAAATGGACCACAACACTGTCATTACAAGCCTGGCCTATCACAAACTGTTTTAGCCGAGTCACGTGGGAACACCGACATACTGATAGGCAGGCAGAAAGATGGGAGTGGAACCCATGGCACTTCACTGAAGGAGAGGCAAGTCCGTGCGTAAAAAGTTTAACACGCAGCTGCGCAACATTGGACCAGGGCAATAACAAATTTCCTCAAGTGAAAACGTGAAAAGAAAAACAGCAACGGAGAGAGCAGCGGGAAGACTGGTTGTATGGCACCTCAGTCGTGCGTAATGAATCCTGCGCAGGGATCACCGCCCTCGGCTGCTCTGGGGGAGACCTCACCAGAGGACCGGGTCGCTGGTGGCATAGGAACTGACGAGCTGGACCTGTCATCCACCAGAAGGTGTAAAACCAAAAGTTTAGATCTACCTTTCAGTGTGGAATCCCTCATATCAGACAGGACGCCGGAAAGAAGCCTCCACTCCCCCGAGCCTGGTTCAGGCTGCGTCCGGACAGAGGAGACCGAGTGTGCGTCACCGAGAGGACTTTATCGGTCCAAACCAGAGGCGCTGGACCTCAGCGACAAGGAGACGAGCCCCTGGTGTCAGACTCCTCACGCATCCCCTTCAAGTGAGTGTAGGATACTCTCCGTCTTTCTAATTTCTCACAAAACAGACGCTATTTTTTCATCTGTCCAAAAGTCTGAAACTGTCTCCAAATTGTATGAATATTATTCGTTTGCACAAATTGAAGAACACTGCACGAAAAACAGTGAATGTACAAAATAATTCATGCCCTAGGCCTTCATGGTGAGGAAATACGATGTAATATCGTCCTTTAATTATGCTATCTCATCCTTTATTCATCTTATTTATGATGGGGTGGATTTCTAAACTTTCAGATAGTTGCGTTGCCTTAAAGAGCTTCAAATAACCTAAATATTCTATTTGATATTTCCCTGACTTGGCTTTACTTGTAAATTACCGTGATGTAAAATACAAATTGAAAAAGTCACTAGTAAACTGATGACGTATTTTCTATTCCAATAAGGTGACTCCCTAAATATACTTCCAGGACTCCCCAGCCCGACTTCGTGCAATCTACGGAAACACAAGAACAACAGGAAACCCAGAACTCCCTTTACAACCTCTCAGCTGCTTTCCCTGGAGAGGAAGTTCCGACAGAAACAGTACCTCTCCATCGCAGAGAGAGCAGAGTTCTCCAACTCACTCTGCCTCACAGAGACCCAGGTCAAGATCTGGTTTCAGAACCGCAGGGCCAAGGCCAAGAGACTGCAGGAGGCCGAGATGGACAAGTTCAAGCTGGCCGCGAAGCCGCTGCTGCCGGCCTTCGCCTTTCCCTTCCCGCTGAGCGCACCTATGGGCGCACCGTCCCTCTATGGGGCCCTGAGCGGACCGCGGCCTGCCTTCCCCGTCCCAGGACTATTTGGTGGACCATATGGGATGTACTACTTGTCTTAACCCGCGCCAACTTTGAACTGCATCGTTGGGAAAGATGCCTTCATACAGTAAATAACCAACACTGCAAAAGTGTCCATTTTATGAGTCAACCTGTCTGGAACCTTGCATTGAATATATGTGAAATATTTCGGTATAGTAAAAACATTATATTTTTCACACAAATGTTGATTAAACAGATGGTTTCATTTTTTAAATAATTGATTCATTCAGGGACCACGCAGAACAGAAACAAGTTAAATATTTCTCTCGATTGGCATTTTTTATTCATTTTCTATGAAAAAATGATTTATTTTACAGTCAATTATTTGTTCGCATGGTCATTTTTGCAGTATATTTAGTAAAATCCTTAATGAAGGCCACTGGCTGAACTAAGTTTTGAGCCGTTTTATCCCAATAGAGGTATTTCTTGAATAGTCAAAGTGCTTTTAATGTCGCCAGAGATGGAATGCTTATTTATAGGCCTGTATAGCTTTGGATATAAAGTAATAACTCGAGATTCAGTTGAGCCCCCAACGGTCTAAAATGTGATATATATATATATATATATATATATATATATATATATATATATATA